ACTTTAACTTTATTGAGGTGATCAAATTAGAATGATACTATTCAAATTTAATGAGATAAATACAGACACTGGGCTTCAGTTGGTGACTCATCCACATCCATCTAATCATTTCAGGATTAATTCTTTTATAGTCTACTTTCGTGAATACCTGGATAAACCGACAAATTGCAAAGCAAATTCAGTTTGTTTTTCAAGGGAGGGGTGTTCTCTCTTGGGGTTGTAAAGGCAATGAGTTGGCTTATATCCAGGTAAGCATCCACTCATCATAGACTACCAACACTGTTGATTTGTGTAATTGTATGGACCCATTTTCTTAAAAGTCGACTCATTATACAAAATTTGAGAAATCTAGACCCGTTTTAAAAATGTGGACCCATTCTTTGTGGACCCATTCTTTGTGGACCCAATAGAAAAATTGTGTGGGACTATCCCAACTATCCAAATAGCTGGCTATGGCATTGAGGATGATTATGATTTCTATCAGAAAGACTAAATATATCAATTTCAGATATCACTGCAATTTTCAAATGCAGTATCCAATAGTGCTTCAGGCTAATGAATTCATGTAAATGGTATCTTGCACCACAGTACAACTGAATTAGTCTTGTGATTTTTTTTTTTTTTTTAATATCTAAGTGAAAGTGATCTTCCAAGGAAGGTACAGTGACATTTATGTCATTGTTTATCGTTCCACTCTGTACAAAGAGTAAATCTTTACTCAAACGTACTACAAATATAATGAACTTAGTTGTTAATTGTCTCTATATTACTCCATACCTCAGTATAATCTTTTTATGGGAATGGGATAGAGGGAATGAGGTGGCTGTGATTTTTTCCTTGATTTTTAACGTTAATGATTACCACAAAACCTGGCCATCTTTTGCTTTTCCTATACACTTTTCCATCAATAATCTTGAACATTGTTTCACTTGCCCATCTTTGCACTCTTTTGCTCATGGACCATGTTTAGCTGCAAGCAGTAGGCCTATTAATATACATTGAGATTGCAATTTTAACATTGTTGTCAACTGTTGAGTGATTCCGGGGGCTGCCAAGTGCATTTCATTCCAAGACATGCGGAACATGATGATTCATCTTAGCAGGAGCCTAGGATCCTAATGTACCATGCACTACTCCGGTACCTCAACTGTCAATCAAAGATCTAGCACACCTACGTTGCCATACACACCTCATCATGTTACCTTTTTCTTGATTGACTGAATGCTAGGCCAGCGGCTCAGCTTCCCATCAGGATGTGAAGCCTCCAATAGATGGAGTCAAGGATATTTACTGTATTGTTCAAACCACAATTTCAAACTATTGACACCGAGTTTATGAGATTTCAATACACAATGGTGCAATAATTTACAGTAATATGGCCTTATAAGGAAATATACTGTATCATTAATCATGTACCACACGAACAACATTGATGACTCATACTTAATAGGGAATACTGCCATTTTACAATTGCAATTCAAGGATTTAAAAATTTGGGGATGTGGGGGGGGGGCAGTCATGGCAGATAGGGTGCTGTTTATGTAAATACTGTATTGCTTTTTCAACCTTTATTTCAAAGGCATAAGTCATGTGCTCAGATGTATTTCTGTTAAAAACAAAATTCATAGGCCTTTAATATTCCAGCTTTTTTATTCATTAATGAAAATAATCATGAGATTTGTAAATTAAAATTCCCAACAACAAAACTGTGTTTGATTTGAGTTATTAACCCATCTAAAGTTCTTTCTTACTTGTTTACAAATATCAGTGAATAATAATTGGATTATGTATGCCTTTCTTTTGCGAGTAGGAGTACTGTAGACTATGTACAACATGCAAAGAATTTGTTAACCTTGGCCGGTTAACTTATAGGAGGATGTAGGAAGATGTTGGCTTTTGGTCCGGAAACATTCAATCAATTGGTTAGATCATACGCACCTTTCAAATTCCTGCTGATACCTCTTTGAAAGTTGGCAGATATTCCTGGAAAGAAATTTTCTACCCTTTAACATGTTGACTGCCAGAACTTTTTTTTTTTTGGTTCCTACCTGTGTGCCAAAACAAGTTGGCATGTACAAAAATACTTTTTTATAAATTTTATATAGTCATATATCATCAAAATGATCTGTCTAATAAATTGGTAGGAACATATTAGGGGTCGATGAGTAAACTCATTGCCAGCACTGTGACAGTAATTTTTATTGCCTCCTGTCAAGTACATGTTTTCTTGTTCGCTTTTTGCATGGGTTGGTATATGTTCAGAAGGCACATCCACTCATGCAATCTTTTGTACTGCTGGCAACATAGCACAAAAACATATACGTTATATGTACATTATCGTCTAGGTGTATCTTCATCAAACTACTAGCTATTAAGTCTGTGGTTCTACAATATATAACAAAGAAGTATTAAACTCTCAAATGTTACCCTAATTTTGATGAATGTAGTCGTCCCTAGCGCCTTCAGCAAAACCCTCTGGAACGAGTATACTCGTCGCTGGCAGCGAACGTGTTAACATGAACCTGAAAATGTCTTGTATAAGTTTACTGTCATGAAAACGGGTCACCAAAGGGACATATTACATTATATAGTATGCTGGTCCCTGCTTGTCTGTCTTTTTTCAATTCAGTGTGTCATTTTATTTGACCCCTGAACGTGTGCCAAAAAGTCGAACTATTCTTGAACTCCATGTATTAGCTACTGTATTATGTAGAATGTTTAATATTTATGCGGTTTCTAGTGGTGGGTTCTGAAATTTACCAATGGGGGTCCAACAAGGGACCTCTAAGAGCTTCTGTCATGTCCGAGGGTAAAATTCCTGGAAGGGGAAATATTGAGAGATTTTATGGTAGTAAAAAATGCTTTTGGATCACAATATTAATAATGTTAGGCTCTATAAAAAATATTATTAGTTTATCACCCTATCTGGGCAGGAAAAGTGATGAGGGAGGGAGGTTTTTTTTTTTGTTTTTTTTTATTTTGCTAAAGCCAAATATCATCCTTGGGTTGTTTGCTGGTGCATTGATATTCAAAGTAAAACATGATTTGAATAACGTAAACAATATCTACTAACTATTTAATAAAATAAATGAAAAAAATTAATAAATAAAATTTAATAAATAAAATTTTGTTCAAAAAAAATTTTTTTCAAACATTTTTTTTTTCAGTACCATAAAAGACATGCGCGCGAGGGTGATAAACTAATATTTTTTTTTAATTGGGCCTTAACTACAATTATAATAACTTTAGTGGGATAAGTAAATTAATGTAAACTTTATTAGTCTGAGGAGGAGTCCATGTTTGTCTGGCGGGGAGGAAATTTCCCCTCTGACCCCTCACTGGTGCCACCCCCTGTAAAAGTAACAAAGAAATGTTTAACTGGCAAATCGTTGAAGAAGAAATTTCAAATTTTTATGCCATTCTTTGCAATGCATAATTTTATTCCACAGAACAATAAACTATAAGTTTTATGATCCTTCTGTGTTTCTTTGTTGTATATGAGTCAACTGAAGTAGCGTCTGTTGGGAGTCAGTTAAGCATCACAATTACCATACAGTATTTCTATGAACTAGAAATTGCAAATTGCAAGTGAAGTGCTGCGAAGTACGGTACAAC